CTCAACCAAATGAGCCACCCAGGTTCCCCTACTTTTGCCCATTATAATTAAAAACTGAGTTGATCCTGTCAGGCCACTCAAACTGCCACTTTCCCCAGAAGTCCTAGACGACCCATACTCAGGCACCTGAATCCCAGGGGAGGTATGATTTCCAACTCCCTTTCCTTTGAGGAATGCACCAGTGAAAATAATAGTGAAGTACTTAATAAGGTGCTAGTGGAGAATGTACAGTTGTGCTTTCTCTGCTAGAATTCAGTTACATAAATGGTAAGAAGTCCTGTTCTGAAATTTTTTTTTTTAATATTTTATTTATTTATTTGACAGAGAAGGACACAGCGAGAGAGGGAACGCAAGCAGGGGGAGTGGGAGAGGGAGAAGCAGGCTTCCCGCCGAGCAGGGAGCCCGATGCGGGGCTCGATCCCAGGACCCTGGGATCAGGGCCTGAGCCGAAGGCAGACACTTAACGACTGAGCCACCCAGGCGCCCGTTCTGAAATTTTTTGCTGAAATTTAAACTTATACAGGAATGTACTATAGCTATATGATAATCACACATTCACAAACTAAGATAAGTTCTGAGTCAGATGATATTCTGAGGTCTTTTCCTAATTATATTCATTTGTATTATATATAAAACAGCCCTCTAATACACATTCACGTTTTAAATACCCATTCCCAAATACTCAATAATGTGCTCTTTCCTGTAAATATAGGATAATTAAAACATTGTGTCCATCTATTCTAAGTGGCATTTAATGAAACTGATTATAAATTTTTTCACTATATTAAAGAAGCTAGTCACAAAGAAGAAGAAAAAGTTTATTTAAAACAACATACAATTAGGGTGGAACAATTTAAAATCACTTGAATCACTGAATTCCTTGGTCTTGAACGCAGCTTTACCCCAACTTTGTTAGTATAATTATTGTCCTGAGTCACCTCTTATTAATGAATATAAAGATCTATTTTGTGTAACTTGCTTTGGTGAGTTTGGGTTGTTTTGTTTTGGTTGTTACACCACAGTTTGGTGGGCAGGCCTACAGTGACGTGGAACACACTTCTGTCCAGTGCCGGGCCCTCGATGGGATTGAGTGTGCCAGTCCTAGGACCTTCCTACGGGAGAATAAACCTTGTATAAAGTAAGTGTTACTTTGATTGGGGTAGTTGGTACTTGGATAGAGGTAGAGCTATTTTCCTTGTCATCTCGTGATGTGACTTTTTCTTTTATCTTAAGTGTTAAAAGGGCAACATGATTACTACTGTGCATAATCCATGGACAGGGGCGATGTGGTTATAAACAGAAAGGACACTGGACTTAAGATCCTAGAGGCCATTAGTTCTAAATGTCTCTTTCATCAACTAGCTAAGTGCCTGTGGAAGCCCAGAGACTCTGTCCCTCACCTACAAAATAAAGGAGTTGGACCAGTTGATCTAGCTCCAAAATTCCTATGATAGACCTAAATCCTGTAAAAATAGCCTTAGTATTTGGGGAATAAAGGTTTTAGTTTATTTTTTTTTAAGATTTTATTTATTTATTTGTCAGAGAGAGAGAGAGAGCACAAGCAGGGGGAGCAGCTGGAAGAGGGAGAAGCAGGCTCCCCACTGAGCAGGGAGCCCGATGCAGGACTCGATCCCAGGACCCTGGGATCAAGACCTGAGCGGAAGGCAGACACTTAACTGACTGAGCCACGCAGGCGTCCCAGAGGAATAAAGGTTTTGTTATGAAAAGTGTGGCGCTCTCTCCTGGAAAATAAGTTTATCTTAAAGAATTAGGGTCATTTCTGTAAATTTTGCCAGAAGGCACAGAATGTATTTATATCAGTTGCTAATGGAGAGTCTGTGGTGTTTAGTGACGATATTGGAGCAGTTGCAATGGAATGTTAATCGCAGTATGTAAGACCTAAGTCCTTATTGAAGAAACCTCATTTTTAGTTGCCACAAAACAGCAGAAGGGTATATGGAGATCGGTGTTCATCTGAGGAAAGATGACGACATTTCCTTAGAGAACTGCATTCAGAAGTGCGGCCTCAGGAAAGGAGTCTGAGTCGGGGAGGGTTGTGGGCCCAGACCCTACTCCTCCCAGGATGCCTACAGAGCATATGTGCTTGATTATTTCTTGTCCAATCCAACTCAGTATTTGTTCCTTTCTTTATGTCCTAGGTAGTACTCTTTTGAGAGCCCAGGCCAACTCGAGATTTTCTTTTTGGGGAGGATAAGAGGCCACAGAAGGACTACTGCACCATCTTTTCACTTATGTTAAATTCATTAGTCACTAAGTGTTTTAATTTTCATGGGGTAAACATCTTCCTTTTCATTCCTTCTGTCTAGATACACGGGACACTACTTCATAACCACTTTGCTCTATTCCTTCTTCCTGGGATGTTTCGGAGTGGACCGTTTCTGTCTGGGACACACTGGCACAGCAGTAGGAAAGCTGTTGACACTTGGAGGACTTGGGATTTGGTGGTTTGTTGACCTTATTTTGCTTATTACTGGAGGGCTGATGCCAAGTGATGGCAGCAATTGGTGCACTGTTTACTAAAAAGAGCTGTTGTCATGGCCCAGAGAGGCATGTCTTCCTACAGGCTCAAAACTCTTCCTTGATAGCAGACCTGATTATTACTTTCCCTCCCTGGAGGGAATCGGTTTGGTTAGGAAGGTTTCTTTGGACTCTGGGTTTTCAACCCAAATTTTACCTTGCAGACTAGAAATGACAAGCAAACAGTGTTTGGGAATCAAGTGTGTACCTTTCCTCCATACAAAATATAAAGGCTAGTGACTAATAAGTTGCAGAGAGGTTTCCATGCTGTATTTCTATACATTGCTGTATCTTCAATACTTTGGAGCAAGTGGACCCAACAAGATGAGCAAAGTGAATATTTTTAGCCTTGTGCCTTTTGTGACCCTGAATCTTCATGCAGAGGAGATCTGAAGCTAAACCAATGAAAATCTTCAGCAGAAGTAAAATGGCCATGAATTTTAATACACACTGAAATTCTGACTTTCTGAATTTAAATTGTGGAATAAATTTTGCCAACCTGGAATGCTGTTTGGTATTTTCAATAAGTAGAGTGAGACTCAAAATTCTGTATGTTTTGCTAAAAGCTAGGCATTTGAAATGAACCACTCTACTAATAAACCCTATTGTTACATCATTATTATGCTCCAGAGGCAGTATATGCAGTACAATAATTTCTTCATTTCAATTATATTTTGAAAGCCCAACAATAATCAGGTATGTCTGGGTTAAGCTATCCTCTTGGCTATCCTATCTAAAAATTAATTATTTACGAGTTCAGAGAGCCTATGTTGTAGGCTGGTAAAAAAGATCTCCTACAACTAACTATAAAACTATTCACAATTATGTTAGGTAAGTTGTAAAGCCTCGTACCTTTGGGGGGAAAAAAAAAAGCAAAATAGATTCTTACTTAAAGGACAGAATTACTGAGTATTGGGTGGAGTCAGGATGTGATTTATGGGGGCAAAAAGAACACATTCGTTCAAAATAAACATGGTACCAGAAGCTCTCGCTGTGGACTACCAGAGTCCATTGTCGGGAAAAAGAGACAGCCAAGCTTTTGCATTCCCAAATCACTGGGAATAAAAGGAAATGTTCTGAACTATAAGTTCGGAGAAACTTAGTTCCCATCCTTTGCAATTTAAGTTGAAAAGAACTTTTAAATATGAAGTAAAAGGAGGACTTTTCAGACAAGTCGAACTAAGAGCCCGATATTTGGGATAAATTCTAGAAACAATCAAGGTAGAACTACTCAAATGTTACTCTCCTAATAGTTGACTTAAAGAACCAAGAATCACAGTTAAATTGATACTGGATATGCTCTATCATTATGAAGCAGCTTTTCTAAAAGTTTCAGCTTTATTATCCCTGATTATTACAATTACTGTTCTTATATTATTAAATGGTGAGTGTGTAAAAATTAAAACAAATTATTCTGTCTTGAAAATTCTGTACCACATTGAACTTAACCTTGTTTGTAACAGTAATAATTGGTAGATTCTTATTCATAATGTCTGTACTATAAGTATATAGTATTTTTTAAATTGTTGGAGGTCATAAAGAAACCGGACCCCCTCCCCAGGAAAAAATGCACATAAACAAAATTTTGCATAGAATTTAAGGAGATGCCATATTTTAAAAAAAAAATCCTAACTTGTAAGAAAAATCTGGAAAACAAATTAAAATCTTAGCAAAGAAAATAAGATACTACTCTAAGCCACAAATCCTGCTTCATCTTAATACTTGTCAAAAAAAATCTCCTCAGGATATTCACAAACCCCATCAAAAGCTATTTTCTTTAAAAACACCAACACTTTGGCAGCTTTCAGACTCAAATCACTAATGTTGCCAGGAGGACGAGCGTGGGTAAGAAGGTCAAAGTCTATAAGTTATTGAAGGATCTGTCCTATAAAAGAAGCCTTCTCCCAGTCAGAAAGCTTTTGGAGACCACTGCCAGGGTGATCATGAGAATCTAATATTTCTCTGTGACAATCTGCAGTTGTCAGTTTGAATTTGACTTACAAACCGTGCTCATCCTCCATATCTACAACCCTGGCCAAATGTGGTACAGCCTCAAAAACTGATTGAGAAAGGCAGTGTTATGAAAAATTGGATTTCCTTTGCACTTTGGATTCAGGTTGTTTCTTCATATTTGGTAGGTTTATTCGTGTGTGTGTGTGTGTGTGTGTGTACACACGTTTATGTTACATCCAGTTTGTGGCTATAGAGAACTTTTAAAATCCACAAGTGTCCTTCTGTCAAGGTTAAATTAGAAACTGTGCTTGTTTTTCAGTTGTTTCCTGTGTTGAAATAAAATGCTATCAGCTTCCCAGACTTCCTGGCACCATGTCCTTCACTTGCTTTAGTAAGGCTTCTTAGCAATAGTAGAGTACCCCAATCTAATGGTCCCTAAGTGTGTGTGTGTGTATCTGTTTTAAAGCATTCATTTTTCTTAGGAAAGAGACCCTAAAATTTGCTAACTTTGGCACATCTTCAGTACAAACCAGGTAATATAGCTTTGGTTTTGTTAGATGATTTCTCTTTAAAGCTTGATACTTAATTGATTATTTCAGATGTGACTGTCAGGATCAAAGTCTGACTTCCTCGACGAACCATGATGGAAAGGGAATCATTGTCCTTAACAGCTTCAATAACATCGGTTGTGGTGGTAACAGGTTGCCCATTTATGCTGACAATTATATCGTGGTCTCTCAACCCAGAGCTGGGAGAGGGGGGAAAAAGGGACCATGAAACTATAAGTTTTACTTGTCCCCATTTAAAATTTAATGTCAGTCTTTTATGGCGCTTTTTTGCTGTCATTTTTTTAAAGATTTTATTTATTTATTTATTTATTTGAGAGAGAGAGAGAGCACAAGCAGGGGAGGGACAAAGGGAGAAGCAGACCCCCCACACTGAGCAGGGAGCCCGACATGGGACTTGATCCCAGGACCCGGGGATCATGACCTGAGCCGAAGGCAGACGCTTAACCAACTGAGCCACCCAGGAGCCCCTATTTTGCTGTCAATCAACATACAAACCAGGAAACCAGAAATAACATCAGTCCTTTCAGGTATGCGGGCTCTTATAAGATATGCCGGGAAATCACCTGGGGACAACAATCCTATTTACCTTTATAAAATCAGTCTTCTAACAGAATCATATAAAAAGTTTACTCCTCTCATATATTGGATTTGGTTTGGAATAGGCAATTTAGCTTTGGGTTGTTATCAATCTCTGACTTCTGTAAACCTCAAGCACATTCCTGGTCTTACCAGCAAAGATAAAGAAGAACACAAGCAATATATTTTTTCCCCATACAGTTGTACTCTGATCAGTTTGGTTTTGACAGCCCACTTACTTGCCCCATCTCCACCCACAGCCTGATAGCCCTACTTCCAGTAAGTCAAAAACCAGTCACGCTTTCAAGTCTAAATATTTAAGGCTCTGGTTCTAGGCTCCTTTTCCCCAAAGTTGTGATTATATTCTGTCTCCAATATATTTGCTTCACATAGAATATATATTCTAGAAACAAAAAACACCTCCAAATATGAAACACTCCAATAAATATATAGCCATGCTGATGACTTCTCTTAAAGTCAATAATGGGCTGGAAGAGGGACATCAAAATTAAATGACTCCAGGAGACACCATTGTAAAGAAATGGGAAGCCAAAGGAAGGATGCAAGAGGATTACCAAGATATGTGGAATTAATTTTTTTAAAAAATAGAAATTTAAAGCAAGAGGATGTGAAGAGAAGTTTGAGGGCAAAGCTAAAAGCATGGAACACCTTTAGAACAAGGACATCTCAGGAGGATGACTGGGACTGTGCACAAAGAAGAAACTTAATCCATTGTAGTTCTGTGAGTAGAAGAAGAGAAAGAAACCTGCCAGTTATTACTGAATGTAAACTATGCACCAAAATGAGGGAGTGAGGCTCAGCTAGGATAAATAACCTATCCCATGTCCCACAGCTTGGAAGGGACTAAAGTAGGATTTGATTCTGGGTATTTCAATCATGAAAACCCATCTTCCTGCTACTCACTCTGCCTCTTAGAAACGAGAGCAGCTACAAAACAGGATAATTCACGAACTAAGCCAGATTCCACATCCCTGCATTCTACTTATATGTACCTCTCAAGTTAATTACCTCTCTGTACCACAGCTGCTGTTTCTGTAAAATAATGCCTGTATCATAAGACTTTGGGGGCTCAAAAACGTATGTAAAAAAGTGATGCCTGACATACAGTAAGTGATTAATAAGTGCCAGCTGTTATTACTGTAATTATTATTATTAGATTTAAGTGTATAAAGCCAGAAATAATAAGATTTCTGGTTTATCAGTGACTTCAAGCAAGCAGTAGTCCCACACTTTAATGTTCATCCAAATCACCGGGAGGTCTTGTTTAAAATGCAGATCCTGATTCAGTGGTGGGGCCTGTCATTCTGCATTTTTTTCTTTTTTTTTTTTAAGATTTATTTATTTGAGAGAGAGCATGCGAGTTGGGGGAGGGGCTGAGGGAGAGAGAGAAAGAAGCAGACTCCGCACTCAGCGCGTACCCCGACTCAGGGCTGGATCTTACAACCCTGAGACCATGACCTGAGCCTAAATCAAGAGTCCGAGGCTCAACCAACTGAACCTCCCAGGCGCCCTTCATTCTGCATTTCTAAAAAAGCCCCAGGTGATGCCAGTGCTGCTGGTCTACAGGCCATATTTTGAGTAGCAAGGACTAGGAGAACTGAAAGAAATAGCTTTGGCCTTGAACCAAAAGATAAAAATAAAGAGGTGGGGGGAGGGCAGGAAGCAAGAAAGTCTAGAAAAGCCTGTGACAAGCCAAATTTAGTAACATGAGACCTAACATTTAGCCATTAACAGTTAGTACCTCATGGTTTCTTCCCCCTACTAAAAGAGTTGCCATAATATAAAAAGATAATTGAGCTTTGAGAAACAAAAGTAGTGAGAGAGGTATACTGAAGAAGTATAAGAGAGGGACCCACCACCTCTTCCCTCAGTAGTTAGTATAAATGTTTAAAAACAAGAGTAAAATCAGCTGGAGCACTTCTTTGATGAGCTGTTCTAGCATTTGCTTTATTAACATTCACTCATTCAGTGCTGGCCTCTGGTATGATCTTCCAGAGTTCAAAGAAAAAAGTGTCCTAAAGTACCTAAAATATGTTCTTAAACTTTTAGCCCTCTGAATTCTTCCTATTCTTAATAACTAAGGTATCGAAAGTACATTCGGGAATTCCTAGCAAAATTAATTTAAACTTATGCTATTAACTCATCATGAATTCTTGAGCTACAAAAAAACCATTCCCTTCCCAAAAATAGTCCTTCCAACACAAGCACACAAGTCCGAATCAGCACTGTCCAATAGAAATGTAAGACAGGCCACATACATAATTTTAAATTTCCTGTAGCCACATTTTTAAAAACTTTCTTAATTTTTAGAAATCTTTTTAAAAATAGATGAAGCTCATTTTAATAATATACCTATTTAAGTCAATATGTGTATTATCATTTTAATATGTAATTTTTAAAATTATTAATGGGTATTTTAGACTGTTTCATATAAGTCTTTGAAATCCACTAGAAACAACCCACACCTATTGTGCTACTATACAACATCTTACACAATGCAGTGATTAAAGTTAAAGGCAGTCCTTCCAAAACAAAGGGTATGTTTCATGGAAAAATCTTTTATATTGAGTGCCTCTGTTTTTTTGTTTTTTTTTTTTTACTTAAATAAACTCAAATTAAATAAGATTCTGTTCCTCAGTCACACCAGCCACATCTCCGTATTCAACAGCCACGCGTGGGTAGGGCCACCATACTAAACGGTGCACATCTCGATCCGACACACATTTACCATGGCATGCTAGCTGGGCCAAGGCCTGAACTCTTACCTTTCAGCAGCTGTTCCTTGAATCACCTCATACACAAAGACCCCAGAACTCACATCAGGGAAATCTGGATCTTGCCTTTTCATCTCTTGAAGAAGGCTAAGACAAGTGAGAAGAGTTTTCCCAGAAGGTTAAGAAACAATGAATTCATCACCTGAGCCCTGGTCAAAGCCTCCAAGTCAACAGGTACTCTTATGTGTTCTACTCAAGGCTCCGGGGGGCCAGTGAAGATTCCAGCAAGCCAGCCACAGTTATTCTTCCCTGGGGCGGCGGGGGGGGCGGCAGTTCTCTACCAAAGCCCCGAACCACTGGACATATAAGGTCTATATAGCCACAATGAAAGAAGCTACTAAAATGTACCGCAAATATTGGTGCAGGCAGAGACAGATACCTACCCTGTGACAGTGGGGCCCTACACTCACAAGAGTAGCCAGCTGTAGTCCACATGCTTTAGATTCCCTGTTAAGACCGTCCAGCTATGCCTTTTGCTTCTGAAAAACAACACAGACATACTGAAACCCATGCTTACTTCATAGTGAGAGGCAGCATTCGCAGACTGAGATACTTCTGTGAAAGAGCCTTTCCTGGAAAGGAAAGTTATAGGGTGTTACTAACAACAAAACTTCTTTCCTTTGGCAGAGCTTCTAAAAACAGCAAGTCATGGAACATCCTTACTATTATTATAACTGCCCTTTCAGGCTGTCAGCCTGAAAATGTGCTTCAGAGAACCTTTTGTCACTAGCATGGACACTCCTCCCATCCACCTCCCATCTCCAGCCCACGGGTTTCCTTTCCGCCATAACATGTACTTCTGGGTACAACACAACTAGGCTTTGTGCCTAATTCCCCCATATTGCCACCCAAACCACCATGATAAGAGCTGGGTACCAGTGACAGTATTCTATAGAATCCTAAGGGCGGTCTCCAGAACAGATGGAGGGCTCCTGAAAAACACAAGAAGGGAAGAAAAAGTCCTAACTCCCCTTATCTTTCAACTGGCGCTCATGGAATTCTGCCAAGAACTGTTGAATTCGATCTGAGGGAATTGCGAAGGAGATTCCCCCGGTCACCTTCAATGTATTTATGCCAATCACGTCACCATCCTGGCAAGGGAGGAGACATCATTCAGTCACCAAGTCATGCAAACTGACCAGTGCAAAACCAGTGCCAGCAGAGGAGGAAATGAAGCTAGTCACTAGGGTCAGAACACAGAGGGGCTAGAGGAAAGGGAACTTCCACAGGGAGCAGTGGACGTTGCCTTATAGGACACACAGTGTGGGAGGTAAGCCGGGCGGCGGGGGCGGGGGGGACCCTACCCATGTGCAGATCCCTGCTGAGGACAATTTTTTTTAATCTTGAGTTTATTTTGTCCTTCATCAAATGATTTTAAAAGTGAACCACAGTTTGTATTTTGACACAGGTTAAGAGGACAATGAGTACTTGCCTTTTCTTCTCAAATGAAACTAAAAATAAACATGGAAAAGGCAAAAAGCTGTTGGATTTTCAGCAACACTTTAATGAAACTCTTCAGAATTAGCTAATTAACCTCAGAGAACAAAGCTCTACAAAGCGAAAGCTATGAAGTGGGAAACACTTTCCTCTTCGTGCACTTCATCACCCCTCAGCCTCTGTTGGGTAATGGGAAGGGTAAAAAAGAGACTTCTGATCATATTAAATTACATATCATAACTCAGTAGGTCTGGAGTGTGGCCTGACAATGTGCACGTCACCTCTGCTCTAGTAAACTCACTATCTTTTTTTTTTTTTTAAGATTTTATTTATTTGAGAGAGAGTGAGAGCTAGAGAGAGAGAGAGCATGAGCACATACACAGAGAGGGAGAAGCAGATTCCCCATCGAGCAGGGAGCCCGACTCCGGGTTCAATCCCAGGACCCTGGGATCATGACCTGAGCTGAAGGCAGATGCTTAACTGACTGAGCCACTCAGGCGCCCCTAGTAAACTCATTGTCTACTAGAGAAAGCAGGCACAAGAAAATTACATAAGTAACATTACTATGAGTAAAAGAGTGCTCAGTAATTTCACATACCGTTAGCTCATCCTCCAAAAAGCAAGTGTAATGTGTAAAGAACCAAAAACAGTCAGCTCAAAGGGACTCAGCATGATCACAGACTGTGTGTCAAACAGCACTGCACTTTCTTATGTTTTCACAGGTATTTGAGCAACTAGAAACTCGCATTTCCACTAGAGACGCTGAATAACATCTAAGACTTAAATACATGATAGAGTAATGGATTCTCACTGTGGCTTTTCTCTATCAGGACTAAAAACCCGAACAGACACGTCATGTAGTTAGCATTTTGGGATGAGGGACAGTTCTTCACATGCAGCAGCAGGCGGTCTTTAAGGATAGACATTACATAGCACAGTGGTCAGCTGACATATATTTTAGTTTAGTGCCCCGGGCTTTTGTTAACTACACAATGAAAACAGAAAGCATGGTGAAGAGATGTCAGTAAGTGGAAGTAAACCCTGGCACCCTTAGCTGAATGAGCTCACATGCCATATGATAAATGATGATAAATCCAGCACAGATCTTAAATCTTTGCTAACCATTTACTTAAGATGCAATAATAGAAAAGCATCCTACCACAAATCTCTACACAATTGTGACATCCTACTCTGCACCATCATTCTTGGAAAGTTGGGACGAGACATGAAACAGCAAGGCAAGTGGCCATTTACCAAGTTCACCAGAGGGCCCCCAGAGTTGCCATGCTGAAGACAGAATTTGAAAAAGTCGTCAGTGCTTTTCTCCTTGTCATTTATACGTAGTTCCTAAAGAGGTTTACCGAAAGCAGCCTGCTCTGGTGAGCACGGCAAAGCCGTGCCCCTGTCATCACCAACACTGAAGTCAGTGCAGGTAAAAGACAAGAGCCAAAGGACCACTGCCTTCTACAGCAAGGGGTGACCTCTGTGAACGACCCAAAGAGACTGCCCAATATCACGGATGCCGACGATCACATCAAACAGGCTGAACAACATGGCATTCCATCCCTCCAGTGAGGGTCTAACTGAACTCTGGACAGTCCCAACAGGCCAAAAGGAAAAGAGTACCTCTGACATGTTCTTCTCACTGTCCTGCCAGTACCTTATGGGCTGAGGAGAGCCCTCCCAAGTGACTTACATTAATTATGGCATCTGTCTGGATACAGTCCATGTCTGAATTCTTCAGCCCCAGCTCTCTGCCCCCTCGCTGTGTAGTGCTGACAATCCCTTCGGTTGCTGTGTTCTGCAGAGAAAACGGGCTGCCCAAGGCCACCATGAACTCTCCAGCCCGCAGGTCAGAGGACCTTCCCAGCATCAATACAGGAAGGTCAGTCTGCACACAGCCAGGAGGGATAGGAAGGACAGAGAGGTGAAGAAGAAATCAAGAATATAATCAACCAGTATTTGTGTACAACACACATATGGCATGGTCTCTATCATTTGGGCACTTAAAATCCAAGAACCCCCCCACCCACTCATATAGGTTCTACAAGTGCCTGATGTTTCTTCCTCAAATTCCAGGAACCACCACCCTCTCACCTGGTAAGATGATCAGGATTATCTCTAAAACCTAAAATTACTGCTTTGTAGAAATTACTATAACTAAATGACCAGTGAAGTCGCTGATGAACATACACTGACATTAGCAACTTACTTAGCACTATACCAGCTCAAAATTTTATTTTTTTAAGACTTTTTATTTATTTACTTGAGAGAGTGAGAGAGAGCAAGCAAGTACAAAGGGGGTAGGGGCAAAGAGAAGCAGACTCCCCACTGAGCAGGGAGTCCAACCCTAAGATCCTGACCTGAGCCAAAGGCAGACGCCTAAAGACTGAGCCACCCGGGCACACCCCAGCTCAAAGTTTTATAGTCAAAATTAAACCACAAACAGAAAGGAGAGTGCCCAGAACAGTGCTTCTCAAATTTTAATGTGCACACAAATCACCTAGGGATCTTATTAAAATGCAGATTCTGACTCAGACGTGGGTGGGATCTGAGATCCTGCATTTTTAAAAAAATTCTTTCTCATATAATGTCAATGCTGCTGATGTGCAGACTAGACTTTGTGTAGCAAGGACCTCAGAGTATTCCCAGGCAGCTCTGAATCCACTGCAATCATTCCTAGTATTCTAAGGCAAGCAGAGAAGTAAGTTTCCCAGAAGCAGCATCTGTTGAAGAAGGAGGCTAGACAGTTAATAGAAATTGTTAGGGATATACAGACGGGCATAGAAGAAAATAAAAGAGTGAAAAACAGAAAAAAGGAAACTAGAGAAGACCATATACCAGGTAGAAAAGATGTGGAACAAGAATGGGGTGAAGAGGAAAATATCAGCAAATTGATGGAAATCCCCAGATGTACAGACTGATTTGGCCCTTGCATACTCACATTTGGCTCGATCTTAATCAGTGCAAGATCCAATTTATGGTCAATGTCCTTGACAGTGGCTTCATACTGGACGCCACTCTGGAGCTCCACCTGGATCCGCTGCTGGTTGGTGAGGACTTTGGCATTGGTAACAATGAGCCCATCCTCAGACACTATGAACCCAGAGCCACTGGATGCAGGAATATCCTTGTTGCTAAGAGGTGACCTGTCCCAGCAAGACAACAGCATAAGCAGAGGGCAGGAAAACCAGGGTATCCATCACAGTCTGCGGACATGGAACCTCTAATTTATCAAACATACCTCCACCACAGTTTTCTCAGACATCTTACTATCCCCTGTCTGTGTTTTCATTCTCTCAATGTGTAACTGGACTCTGAATGTTCAGCACCCTGGCCATCTCTTAGGAACACGACTGAGAGCTGATCCCAACTCTCCTTTTCCAGGGACGACCCCCTCCCCTCCTTCTTCAGAGCTGGTCAGAGCAGCAACCCTCTGCTTCAGTCCTACTACTAGTCCTACTACTGCGCACACCTAGTCCTACTACTAGTCCTAGTACTCACCTAGTCCTACTACTGCGCGCAAACGTGGACCTAGTGCCACATTCTTGAGGACCCAGGAGGGAGGGAGTCAAAGAAGTCTGGTTCCAGTTTAGGTTCCACTACTAACTGGCATTGTGACATTGGATTTCCTTCCAGGCAAACGAGGGGCCTGAGCAAGATCACCAACAGGATGCCTTCTAGCTCTTACATCTGACCTTCCATTTTGTCCGTGGGAGATGAGGGAGAGAGAAACCCCAGACCCCGAAGTGCAGAGGAGTAGCCCAAATTTGGAAGCCACAATCCCTACGCTTCCGCTCTTTGGCTAAACCAACCCCAAACAGATTATTCAACCTGTTTGAGCTGCGACTTCCTCACAGCGGGTTTTACGGCTAAGCCTAAGCGATGCCTGTAAAGCCGTAGCGCGGGGGCCCGGAGCCGGCAGGCGCTCAGAAACAGTCCCGCGGGGTAGCTGGCGGCCTCCTCCTGCCTCCTTTACCTGCAGAACAGGTGCAAGTGAACCACAGATGGCGCTACCTTCTCCACCACCTCCGCGATGAAGTTGTACTCGCTCCGGAGCCGGCCTACACTTCTGGTCCCTGTGAAGAAATGCACCACTCTTGGGGGCGGTGGGCGCCCCGCTGCTTGGCCGGATCGGGTGTCATATCCCAAATCTCCCGGGCTCTCTCCTCCTCTCTCCTTTCCCGCCCCTTCCTCTCTTCGGTCTCCCCTCTGTATTCACTGCCACCCCGCAAGGATACGCCTTGAGGGAACCAGACCTGTCATCCCGGGTGGGGAAAAAAAGAGAGAGAGAGAAGAAAAAGGGAAGACGGCATACAACAGGCCCGGGGAGGCAAGTGGGGAGAAACCACATGGGAACTGGTAAGGAGACACCTAAGAAGGAAAAAAAACTGGGAACAAGGAGTTGAATCCGGAGGCAAAGGCGGGAAGAGCCCGCGGCGCACCGCGCGACACGGGCGCGCCGCTTGGGGACGTTGCGAGCCACCCGAGCGCGCGGGCCCAGCGCTCACCTCCACCCGCGCAGCCGCCCTTCAGCACCGGCACGGCCGGGAGCGC